ACCCGCTCACCTCCTCGTACTTGCGGTCGGCCTCCTCGGCGATGTGCTTGGCCTCTTTGAGCTGCATCTCCTGAATCTCCATCTTCTCCTCGTCCTTCATGGCGCGGTTTTCTATCACCTTCATTCCCCTGCAAGGAGCGAGCTCAGGATGAGCCGTGCGCTCGCCCACCCCGCCCCGGGCTCTCCTGCCCTGCGGTCACCGGGCACCACCGGTCACGGAGCTGCAGATGAAGCCGGCCGCCAAGCTCACGGCCACGGCCCCTCTGCTGACTGCCTTGACCTGCAACCGCCCCGCGAAGTGGCTCCATCACCCCCAGGCCCAGAGGTCATGCGAGTCGCAGAAGGTCACAGGGCCAGTCAGTGGCAGAGCTGGGACCGAAGCCGGCCGTCTGGCCCCGTCTGTGCGCTCCTTCTAGACTCTTCTCAGGAACGTAAGGAGGCATGTGGTCACCACATGCCAGCTGTCACTACGGTGCGACCAGAGGGCCCTGCCAGTGGCTGTGGGAAGCTGAGTAGGAGCCACGGACAGTGCTGTGGTCGGCTACAAAAGGCTTTCCAGGAGGGGACGTGGCTGTTGGGGACAGAGCGTACGTAAGAAGAGAGGCCACAGTGAACATGAGGGAAAGGGAGCCCGCCGTGGGGGACAGGCCCGCAGAAGGCCCCGAGGATGGGCAATGTGGGAACCTGGCGGTCAGGGGGCTGTCTGAGTGACAAGCTGAGGTGTTTATGCAGAGGGGACACGGGACCGAGGGTTTCAAGACAGGACGTAATAAAATGACAGCCAGCCTGCCTGGGAAAGCCGGTGAGGGGCAGGCCCGGCGAGCCCCTGCCGGAAAAGCCCCAGCCCAGCGAGCTTCAGGGACATGTGAGCACCAACAGGAGGCCACAAGTGGAGAGTGCCACCCCTGAGCTCCCGGCCAGGTCACAGAGTGGGCGCTGAAAACACTGTCAAGTGACCTTCAGGCTGTGTGCCGGCTCTCACCCCTAAGGTGGCTCGTCACTGTGTACACCCCATATCCCCAATCCGAAAAGTCTGAGATCCCAAACACCCTGGTCCCCTCATTTGGGACAAGGGACACTCAACCTGCACCGATCAGGTGAGGATGAAGGGGTCTGAACGACAGGGATGCACTTAGAAAGGACGCATCCTGGGGACAGCTGATCCTTCCTGCGACTCCGCTGGCTGACCAGGAAGTCGGGGAGGAACAGATAAGTGACAGACTCCGGAGAGGAGGCCCACCAGGACTACGTGTCATTGATGTGTGCCATTCTCGCCACTCCCCTCCGTCCAGGAAGCACTTCACTCTGGCCTTCGCCACCACTCTCAGCCATCAAAACGCCCTGCTCGGGTGCAGGGCCTGGCCCTGGCACGTCAGGGGCTCGCTGGAATGTTTGTTGAGGGAAGACCCCTTGTGACACTGAGATCAGAGTGACTTGCTCAAGGCCCTGTGGTAAGGGGCAGGGGAAGGACCTCCAGCCCCAAGAGTAGAATCCTTTTAACCAAAGCAGCAGCGTCCCCCAAGGGTGACGCTCAAGGCCTCTCTGGTGACGTGCTGCAGACAAGCAAGCGGCCTTGACCTTCCCAGGCTCAGTGTGGCGTGGGGAGGCCCTCTGAGTAAGACGTCCAGCAGGTGTGACCACGAGCTCGGGCCGAGGCCAATCCAGGCCCCGGGCACCACCGAAAGTGCCTCTCCATTAGATCCTGGTCACTCTGTGGCTGCCTGAGCCGCCACCCTGTCCATCTATGGCGAGCAGGGGCCGCGGCGGCCTGTTCCCTCCCCTGGCTGTGCCACGGCCGGGGAAGAAGCGTTCGCCTCAAAACCTGCAGTCAGCCTCCCGGGTCCCCAGACGGAACCTGCTGCTTCATGACCAGGAGCCCCATCAGAAATGAACCCTGCGGGGAGCTTACACTGGAAAGCCCTCTTGGTGGACGGGTCAAGTGAGGATTCTGGTGACCATGTGGCAGAGACGCAGTGACCACTGGCCCGGCCCACACCATGGCCGCACAAGGAGCCCATTTACCACCGCACAGAGACCGCTGCCTCCCAGAGCCGCACAATCTGCCCTCAGTCCTCCAGAGCCAAGGCGTGCCAGAGGACGGTCCTGCTCCCAGGACAGAGCGCCCTGTGGAGGCCCGGATGCTGCAAATGCTATGGGGGCGGCCCCATCCGTTGTAAGGACATCAGTGGCGCTGGTCCCTGAGACACAGCTGGCACCACCCCGTTAACATCTGCAGATGGCCTTTACAGTTCTCATTTCCCATTTTTCTTTTTGCACAGCATTAGGGATGAAACCCAGAGCCTTGGACATGCTGGGCAAGTCTCTACCCTGAGCTAGGCCCCAGCCCCTTTTATCTTTTTATTTTGAGACAGGGCCTTACTGAGTTGCTGAGGCTGGCCTCAAACTTGCTGTCCTCCTGCCTCAGCCTCCTGAGTAGCTGGGATTACAGGTGTGCGCCACCACACCCAGTTCTCCCTCTTTTCACACTGCCCTGAAAACCGATGTCGCAGGAACACTGAAGAGAGGTACCATGGCTTTCTAAGGAAGTATCCCTCTGCAAACTGACCGCTGCTCTTTTTGCTTTTCTCTGGGAGGTCAGCAGTGTGATCCCCAATTCACGGAGGCCACCAGGCCCAGTGTCCTCACCTCTCGCTCTCATCCGCAGCCTTTTCTGCCTCCTCCAGCTTCTGCAGGGCGGTGGCCAGCCGTTCCTGGGCCCTGTCCAGCTCCTCCTCCACCAGCTGGATGCGTCGGTTGAGAGCTGCCACATCACCTTCGGCCTGGGGAGGTCACAGGTGCGGGCAGGTTAAGAAGCAGCCACCCGGCAAGAGCTCCCGCCTCCCCTCTGCTGACCGAGTCCCAAAGGCCACCCGAACCCCCAGAAGGAATCCATCCTCTCTTGTCCGGAGAATGTAAAATGACACATCTTCCCCGAAAACATCAGGAGACAGCCAGCCCGCAATCAGGGGACGGCCAGTCAATACTGAAGAGGGACGATAGGTGGGAGATGCGTCAATGAAAATAATGACAGGGACAATAAAAGGCGCACACTCTGTGACCTGGGACCCCGGTGCAGGCCTTTCAGGCAGCTCAGAACAGAGCCCCATCGGGGTGTGGCTCTCCTGTGAAAAAGACACTGAGTGTGTCACCAGGGCCGACCGCAGGACTCCCAGGAGGCAAGGCCCTTGGTGACCTGGCTTACCACGTCCCACCAAGCCCTGCCGCCACACACCCGAACGGCAAGACTCTGCACACACGGAAGCCGGACGGGCCGGCCCTGACGAGCAAGGCGGTGGCAGTGGGCAGCACAGCTGGAAATGTCCTGGATGGCGTCTGGCAGAGACCGTGGGACAAAAGGGCACAGAAAGGAAAGATGTGGCCACAGGCGCGGAGAGGTGTCTGGACGCTGCTACTGCCCGGCCTTCCAGGGTGTTTTCACCCATCAAGGAGGAAGCTTGGCCAAGGGCGTAAAAGCAGGAACTCTGGGTCAAAAAGCGCCAGGTCGAATCTGGGCCTTGCCACCCGCAGCCAGGTGGCCTGGGGCAGATTGCGTCACCTCTCTGAGCCTCTCTCCCGCAGAGCCTGATGACCTCACAGGACTGCCATGAGGGCTGTCACTGCAGGGCATTGGCCGGCTCAGCCCTGACACGTGGGAAGGGCCACGCTGCCCTTAGAGTCTCACATCTCACCCATTTTACAGATGGGGGCACCAAGGGCCCTGCTAGGGGAAGTGGTTCTGTTCAGTGACTCAGAGCAGGACAGGGATGGAGCCCTGGAGCCCTTGCTTTCCCAGCCCCACATCCCTCTGGGGAGGGGGACTTCCGCCAGGCCAGTGGGGCGGGCATGGCCACCCTTGGAAAGGAATGCTGAGATAGTCACACAGGGCCAACCAAGGGGCGAAGCCACAAACCTTCTTCCTATCTAGACAAGAAATCTCTGAAGTGGGAAAGACTATAAAAATGACTGGGAACCACGCCCTGCTGGCCGGAGTCTATACATCAGAAAATAGAAGTCACTGAACCAGGAAGGTCTGCGGCCAGAGCCCCCCGCAGCAAGGACACACCCACGGGGGCTTCTGACTGCTGCGCCCCTGAACCAGCAATGTGGAGAGCCGATGAGGACGGCTGAGGGACAGTCTTTAGAAATACCACCTTTTGGGCTGGGGTGGTAGCTCAGCGGTAGAGCGCTTGCCTCGCATGTGCAAGGCCCTGGGTTCGATCCGCAGCACCACATTAAAATAAATAAGTAAAATAAAGTTATTCTGTACAACTACAAAAAAAATTGATTAAAAAAAAGGAAAGAAATACCACCCTTTGGGGCTGGGGCTATCGCTCAGTTGGCAGAGGTGGCTTCGCATGCACAAGGCCCTGGGTTCAATCCCCAGCATTGCCACCAAAAACAAAAAAAGTCACCTTTCAGTGAGGAGGGTTTTTTGTTTTTTGGATGCTGGGGAGGGAACCCAGGGCCTCTCACATGCTAGGCAAACACACCCGCGGAGCCCCACGCCAAGCCCGGGCATCTCTCTTAACTGCACGACTCTGACCAGCACTGGTCTGTCCAGCACCACTCGGCAACTCGGGGAGGAATCTGGGGTTGGTTTGTTTTCCTTCAGTGGTTTTCAGGTGTGCGATCAACACCGCTAATTCCAGAACTTTCCCTCCAAAAGAAACCTATCCTGAAGACACAGGAATTGATTTTTAGGATCACACAGAGGTACCTGATTCACAAACTGTCTAAAAAATTAACTAGTGAGCAGCCACGCTCTGAAATCAAGAGCCCTGAGCTGCGCACACGCGCGCGCACACACGTAGGTGCTGCCTGCACAGGCGTATATATGGATTTTTGAAAAACTGCTAGTCACTGCTAGTCATCCTGGGCTCCACCCCTTCCTGCAATCAAAGCCTTCCACACTCTACAAAGGGTTTTCCTTATAAGGTAAAAGAGGCTTGCTAGATACATGTGGCAAAGAAACAGGAAGACGTCAGTTAATCACACAAAAATCTAAATGAAACCAGCTGTTGGGAGGCAGGCCCAGAATCCTGCCACATGCCGGCTCCTGGCTTTCTCTACAAGAGACTCGGGTTTTTTGTTTTTTTTTTCCCTCTCTCTCCCAGTTCTTTTCCCTGAATCACCAATCACCTTCAGGCTTCCTCTCTCCAGACCTACAGAAGCATCTCTGTAGAGTGAACTTTAAAGAAGCCCCAAACTTTCCAAAAATATCCACCCTCCCCACCGGATTGTCTCACTCCCAAGTCTTGGCTCAGGGCTGAGGGCCATTTTGGAGCAGAAGTAATTGTCCTCCTGTGAGATGCCTTGGGGTGAGATCAGAGGAAGGGTTAGGAGGCTCTGGTGTGTGAAAGAGGCCAGAGCAGCTACTGTTTGGGGGCTGACACGGTTTCCAATGTCTCCTCCAGCCAGAGAGCCCTTACAGGATCAGAGGCTGCAAGCCAGGCCAACACAGAAGGCCCTGGGAAGGGCCAGCCCCAGCCTGGACTGCCCCAGGACTGCCATGCAGAATCTTTCCTTTTCTGGGATCTCCACCCTGAGCCCCGAGTCCCTGTCCCCCAGCTCTCAGGTCCCCGGGGCTTCCACTGCCCCTGCCCCACACACCCCTTGTCTAAGTCCCAACAAACTCTAGACCCTGCCTAGTCCCAAGGCGGCCTGTCAGCTTGGCCCGGCCCAGGAGCCCCCTGGAATGCTAACCACACTTTTTTGTTTGTTCCTCTTAAAGACTCTGAACTCTTCTAGGGCTGGAGGGAGGGGAGAAAAACGAATTGAGCACCTACTATGGGCCAGAGCCACACAGAGCTGGTAAGTACTTTGAGATGGGATTAAGATCCAGATCTGTCCCCAAGTCCCAAGTGTTGCCACCGTCTCTCCCGAGGGGCAGTCAGGGATGGAGAAGGGGTGCTGCGGCTCCCTTCTCTTTCAGACTTGTGCTCCCTCTCGCTCCCTCCCGCCAACGTGCAGCAGAAGCATACAGTAGGTGCTCAAACGATCACAGGTGGAGGGCCCCTCGCGAACATTCCAAGGGCCTTCTGGACGAAGGCGGGGTCCCGCGGCCCTGGCTGCCCCAGGGACCAGCTGGAGAGAAAGGCCGGCGGCTCAGGGCTGCACTTCCGCCCCCTGCCAGGAGCAGACACGTCGCCGCCGCGCCCCTGGGAACGGCTGGGAAAGTTCAGCGGGAGCCGGGAAGCCACCGGGGAAGCGAGAAGCGCGCCGCCCCCGCCCCCCGCCCAAGTCCAGCCGGCCGGCCCAGCCCCAGACAATGGGAGCCGGCCTTGCCTCCCCCGCGCCCCGCCGCCTGGTCCAGTAGCCGAGCCCCTCGGCCGGGGACTCCGCGCCTGCCCGGACCCGGAGCCCAGCGCCGCGCACCCCCTCCTCCACCTCCCCAGCGGGGGCTGCGCACCCCTCCGCCCCATCCCCCCATCTCCCGCCCGGCCGGCCTCGCCCGCCCCGGATGCAGCGCCCCCTCCGCGGCCCCAGCCCGGGAGGGAGGATGGCGGCGGAGGACAGGGGGACTCGGCGGGCGGCGGCCGGGGAGCGGACGCGGGGGCCGCGATCGGGGAGCGGCAGGCCGGAGGGCGCCAAGGCGGGCTCCCGGCAGTGACCGCTGCAGCCGGGCGCGCGGGAGCGGGAGAGAAAGGAGAGCGCGCGGCTGGGGGTGCGGGCGCCGGGCGCGCGGGGCTCTCACTTTTTCGCGCCGCTCGCGCTCGCCGTCCAGCTCCCGCTGCAGGCCCTGAGCGCGGTCCTCCGCCTCGTCCGCCTGCTGCTGCAGGGCCTGGATCTTGCGTTTCACCGCCTCCAGGGAGTTGAGGCCGGCCATGGCGCGGAGGCGCGGGGGCGCACGCAGCGGGCGATCGGCTGGGCTCGGCTCGGCTCTGGCGAGAGCTACAGCAGCCGCGCCCCGGCCCCCCAGCCTTTGCCTGCGCCGGGCCGCCCCCGCCTCTCCCCGCCCCCCGGCCCCGCTGCCGTCGAGGCGATGAGGTCACCGGGGCCGGCCGCCGACGTCAGCACCGCTGGGGGAGGGCCTGACGTCGGCACCGCTGGCCGCAGCTGCTGGAAAGTGCCCCTTTTCGGGACTTATTTGGAGAAAGCGCCGGGAGGCACCGCCTTCTCCAACTGGTTCTCCTCCTCTTCCTCCAGCACTGCCCGCCCGGCCAGCCCTGGGGCTCCTGCCGGCCCTGCCGCGGGCACCCCCAGCTCTGCGCACTTACGTCGGAGGCTTTCTTCTCCGTCAGCTCCAGCTTCTCCTGCGCGTCCTTCAGGTCCTCCGAGTATTTTTCCAACTCATCCTCTGTCCCTTTCAGTTTCTTCTGGAGGTGCGTCAGCTCCTCCTCCACCTGGGGACAGATCGGGGGACGCATCAGCCTGGGGTGCCACCGTGCCCCTGCGGTACAGGGTTGGCCCCCATGTGCACAAAAGTCCTCTGGCTCTCCTCCTCTCTGGGCATGGGTTTCCTCGTCTGTAAAACAAGGATAACAATAGTACGCACCATTCAAGAAATGCGACCTGCCCAGGGGTTTCCCTTGTCCTGGGGACTAAATGTTCTTAACCTCCCTGGGGTCCCCAGTCCTGCTGGGGACTCGATCACAGCTTTGGGGGAATTGGTGTTCCCACAGGTTTTCCAGAAACACTGCTCATTCAGTTTTGCCTGACAGTTTCAGGCTTTTGCAAAACCCCCTAGTGATGTGGGTTAAGCAGGAAGGGGAACCTCATACTCTGGATCTGGACCCCTCCTCTTTCTCCTCAGTCTACCTTTCTCTAGGTCTGTACCCCACATTGTCAGCCAGGGAAACTTTCCAAAGAGTATGGCTGCCCTTTCCCTGCCCAGAACCTGCCATGGCTCCCCATTGCCTATTGCCCTTAGCCATGCCCAAGGCAGTGAATCTCAGACGTCTCCCAAAATTCTCCAAAGGGCTCGGACCCTGCACCCCAACTTGTAAACTTTGGGGGCTTAGCTAGAAGAAACCAACCCATCAAACATCATTTTATTTGAAGGCTCAGGTTAAATCTTTTCCAATGTTGCATGTTTGGTGTATGTTTATCTTAATTAAAATGTCTGCTGTCTTTTCCAAATTTTTAGTCCTTTATCTTGAGAGTCTTCCCTGGCTCCTAGTTTGAGGAGGTCCTGTCTGGGGGATACAAACCACAGGCCCCATCACCTGCATCCCCATTACCTCCACCACGCCCATCAAATCAGCTCAGACCCCACACTGCACCACCCTCCAGACTGGGGTGGCCTCATCCATCCCCTGGGCTGATCTGACTGCTGTCTCTGCTGGTCTGACCCCTGCTGTTGTCCATGCTCCTAGGGGGAGCAGGCAGCCCAAGACCCTGCCTCATTGTCCTCCTTCCAGGAAGAGGCCCAGAAAGGTGAAGTGGCTTTTCCTAGGTCACACAGTACAGAATTGGAACCCAGTTCCTCTGAACATAAACCACTATGAACTACATGCTTGTGTCCCCCCCACCCCAAACCTGTATTTTGGACCCCAATCTGGAAGGGATGGTATTTGGAGGTGGGCGCCTTTGTGATTGGATTAGGGTGAGGTGAGGTCTGGAGGGTGGAGCCCCACACGGGATCAGGGGCCTCAGAGGAAGAGGAAGGGACCAGTGTAGGAAGGTGGCTGTCCAGGAGCCAGAAGAGCCCTCCCAACAGCACACCTGCACCTTGACCTTGGACTCCCAGCCTCCAGACTGTGAGGAAGCATGGCCGTGGCTCTGTGTGTTGTTAGAGCTCCCGGGGCGGAGACCCAGCTGCAGTCCTGTCCCCCACGCCAGGGGGGCTGTCCTCCCTTCCTCCCCAACTGGCTTCTCTCCCTTCCCCCAAAGGATGGGTCATAAAGGCTCCTGTGCTTGAGACTTCTGGAGCCGGCTGATCCCACTCTCCCCCAAGAGGTAAGGTGCCGTGTGCGTGTGAGCATGTGCGTGAGTGAGTGTGCGCACACTAGCGTGAATTCTTACAAGGTCCTGCTCCTAGGCAGGGACACCCAGACTCGCAGCTCCTGAGCCTTCGGGGGTCCTGCTGCTGGGGCTTCAGCTCAGGTCACTGAGGTGCCCTGTGAGGGTCTCTAGCTGAGGTGCTGCCCAGAGCAGGGACGGATGGGTCTGCTTAAGTCACCAGGGACACCCCCCCACACACACTCCCGCAAAAATATTCAGTCACAGGAAGGTGACAGGGCCCAACCCAGTGCCAGCAGCAACTCAGACCAAAGTCAGGGTCTGCGGGTTTGGGCCTTTAACTCCAGGTAAGGAGCCTGGAGTCTGACTCCAAGTCCCAGCTATGTGACCCCTGTCCCCTTTTCTGAGCTCACTTTTCCGCTCTGACCTGGTGGCCTCTCACCACCCTGGCTTTTGAACTTCTGCCTTCATGGAGAACACGAGACAGTTTTCTTTTTCATCTTTTTAGTTGCACAGGGACACAGCACCTTTGTTTTGTGTATTTAAGGTTTTTTTTGTGGAGCTGAGGATCAAACCCAGTGCCTCCCGCGTGCCAGGCCAGCGCTCTGCCCCTGAGCCCGGGCCCAGGCCCAGCCCTAAGCCAGTTTCCTTAAAGACACTTCACAGATCAGTCCTGACCCAGCACCCCCTGTCTTCCCTCCGGATCACAGCATTTACTGGGCACCGACTGTGTGCCTGGCCGGTGTGGGGGAGGGGTTCAAACAAGGCACCCTGGGTTCCTGGCTGTGAAGATGGCTTGGCTCTGAGGACATTTGGACAAGAACTGGTGGGACTAGCAGAGGGTGGGTGGGAGGCTACTGAGCATCTCAGAGTGTCCCAGGCGTGTTACAAATGCCATCTCCCTAGAGGCCCCGTTCCAGAAGGGCAAGTCGAGTCTGAAAGGGGAATGAGGGTGTCCAGCGGGGGACGGGAGTCCCACTCTGTTAAACTAACTCGGGGGCTGGAGCCCAGGGGCAGAGCGCCTGCCTGGCATGTGTGAGGCCCTGGGTTCGATTCTCAGCTCCACACACAAATAATAAAATAAAGGTCCATTGACAACTAAAAAAAATATTAAAAAACAACAACAGCAAAACTACCTGCTTGCTGGACTGCTGGCCCAGCTGTGCCCACGGCTCCCCACCTTCTGCCGGGGGGACTCCTGCCCTACCCCCCATCCATCCCCCAGCCTGGGGCTCCCTGGAACCACCTCCCCAGAACACTGTAGGAGAGTTGTTGAATGACCCAGTGAAAGGAACCAGCCCCCCCAGGGGCGGGCGGTGGATATGCAGACCCACGCTGTGGACGGGCCCTTCCTTCTGACCCAGTTCCACTCCCAGAACACGTGCTGGGACGTGCAGCCCTGCCCCGGCAAGTTGCTGACCTTCCCTGAGCCTCAGTTTTCCAGCCTGTGAAATGGCCCGGAGGGTCATGGAGCAACTTTAGTCCATGTAAATGGGCCTTAGGGCCAGGCTGAGGCAGGATGTGGGGTCAAAGGCCACTGGTGGCGGATGTCACTGCCCTGGAGGGGAGTGGGCAGGAAGCAGGCAGGCTGGCCTTCCATGTCCTGTTCCCACTGGACCAGCAGGGATGGGAATCGGGACTTTGCTCCTTGTCCCTGAGGGTTGGGTTGGTCCCAGGTGGCTTTCTCTCTGGCTTCCTGGAGCAGAGGGTAGGCTAGGCAAGGTGACCCCTCGCCACGGCCTCCGTTCCCAGGCAGGGTGGACCACTGGCCCTGTGGGGCTCTGGCTTCCGCCTTGGGGCTCTGGGACCTTGGATTCCGTGCCTGGCCATTGGAAAACTCATGTGCCACGAGGAGGATTCCAGCGGCTCCGGAGGCTGAGGCAGGATCACGAGTTCAAAGCCAGCCTCAACTTAGCGAGGCCCTAAGCAACTCAGTGAGACCCTGTCTCAAAACAAAAGAAGGGCGGGGGATGTGGCTCAGTGGTCAAGCACCCCTGAGTTCAACCCCTTGTACAAAATAATAATAATAAAATAATAACAAAAGAAGGAATAAAACCCAGCCAGAGACTGGAGCACCGTGTCCACCTCCAGGGTCAGACAGTGGGCTAGAGGCTTAGCGGACCTTCCCTTCTAGCTCGTGGCTGCCTCTGTATCAGTCACCCACACCTTAGTGAGAATTGGAGCCACAGGCTTTGCGCTGTTCCCTGGCTAAGCTGCCCATGACGGGGCTAAAGGTTGATGGAGGGCAGCCGGCAGGCCAGGGCCCAGGCAGGACGGGTCTGTGTTTGCCAGGGAGGGGCCCCGGGAAGAGGGAAAGGAGTGTGGCCGGGAACGCTGGGGTGGAGTTGGCCCACATGGATGTGTCACTCAGGGCTGCCCTAGGGACTGGGGGGTGGGGAGGGCCAAAGAGGAAGCAGGGCGGGGCAGGAAATAGTCCCATGTGTATCGAGCCCTTCCCCAGCCAAGGCCTCCACCTGCACAGTCACCTCTGATCCTCCCATGCAGCCAGGAAGGCCCCAGTGACGTCCCCACCTCACACAGGGGCCAGCTAGGCACTGGGAGGTGAGGGCACCCCGTGACCAAACTGATGACATGAACCGGGCCTGGCTTGGGCCGGCCTGGGCACCTGGTGTGGCCGTCCTGGGGGACTCCGGGGGCTTATCCGAAGCCCTGCACCATCCCAAGGGCCCAGCAGGTGGCCCGGGATGGCGCAGCCCTGAGGAAGGGCACCCCGGGAGGCACGAGCCCCTTCCTTCCTTCTGCCATTCCCGCTGTCCAGACGGGACAAGGGACTCTTGCCCCATCCCAAGCGCCAGCCTCGGCTCAACCCGGCCCTGTCCACTGAGCCTCCATGAGCTCCCCGTGACCCCCGTCGTGAGGGTCTCCTCCCTGGAGCTCTGGGTCTGCGTGGGCTCCTGGGCTGCTGGGGTGGGACGCGGCCTCCCTCCTGCCTCGGGCCATCACCTCCTGTCCCTGGGACACCAGGACACGCTGGGATACACAGCCAGGCGGGGCTCCTCAGCTCTCCGGCCCTGGCCCAGGCCCCCCAGCCGCTCCCCCGACACCGCATGTGACAGGAGCCCTGGGCTCCGCGAGACACAGGCACAGGGTCCCCATGTCTCGCACTGCTCAGCCATCCCCTCCTCTCCACGCACACGCGTGCGCACAGACACGCACAGAGACATCTCAGGGGCTGGGTGGTGGCTGAGGGGCAGAGCGCCTTCCTGTCACAGCGAGGCACCGGGCCCATCCTCAGCACCACGTAAAAATGAATAAAAGAACAATAAAAAGACAAAGGAAAAGACACACATGTCAACACCACGTCCTCCCGAAAACCAGTCACCCAGACACACATCCCGACAGAAGCTCAGTCAGCCCCCACGCGTGCGCGCGCGCGCGCACACACACACACACACACACACACGGTCACCTCCATGCCCACACAGCCCGCCTCCCACTGTCCACAGCCCCACATCACACACCACAGGCCACACACTGACCGGTCCTCGCACACACCTCCGCCTGCCCACAGTCCCCACGGGAACACACACACACACACCCCAAAATGCTCACATGCAAACACACAACCCACAGAGAAACGTTCAAGCACACACAAACACGTGAATACAGAAAAGTCCCCACGGGCACACACTAGCACACACACACACAGATGCTCCCACACACAAATATGCACAGGCACTCAGAGGTGCGCGCGCACACACAGCCTCCCCCTGGGGCACACAGCACCTTCCCTCTCCCTGGGCTCCCGCCGGCCCTGGGGAGGCGATGTCTGGTCACTCCTGATTCCCAGCCCAGGGACACCCTCCCAGGGAAGTCCCCTCTGTCTCTGCTAGAGCATCGGCCCCGGCCCCACCCCGGCACTCAGGTACCAAAATTTCTGTGACCTCCACCCTCAGCCCAGCACCCACCGCACTTGGACTGCAGAGTGGGCACAGACAGCCAGCCGAGGCCACTCACCTGCTTACACTTGTCCTCGGCGGCTTTCTTGTCCGCCTCGGCCTGCTCGGCCCTGTCGATGGCATTCTCCTTGTCCAGCTTCAGCATCTGCATCTTCTTCTTGATGGCCTCCATGGTTGGGCTGCGGGGCTGCGGGCTGGAGGGTGAGTGAGCGGCAGGGTGCAGGAGAGGGCCTTATAGGATCGGGGTGCGCCCGCCCT